TCTCAGAAAGTGGGTGGGCTCCTCCAGGCCTGCAGCTGAACAGAGAGATGGAGGGAGTCCCTATATCTGCCCCCTCCCAGAGGAGCCCTGTGGAAGGGCCTTCTCCTTTCCCCTTTCCCTCATCAGGACTGGGAAAGTGGGGCAGGAGTCGGAGCGGAGAATCCTGGAAATATGAAGCCTGGGACAGGCTCTGAGTGGAGGGGAGAGGGAAGTTGGAATGCAGGAGGAGGGCAGGATTGATGTAAGGGGGCGTGGCTTCTATGGAAGGGGCGTGGTATAGGCTGGAGCAGTTTAGGTTTTAGACTGGGTAGAGAGTCAAGGGTTTGGAGAAAAGGCTGAGGAACTTGGGCTCAGGCAGGTACAAGTTGAGGTAGGAGAAAGCCCTGTATAGAAGGGGGCGGAGAGGGTTCATGAGGGGGTGTAGTTTGGGTGCAGATCAGGCCTGGAATGGCTTGGGGGAGGGGTCAGGGGTGCAGCAGTGAAGGGCCTAGGCCAGTCAACCCGAGGGGCCAAGGACTGGTGGCAGAGGGATGCCAAATGGCTGGGCAGGACTCGAGGGATGACTCACCAGGCTCAACCTCAGTGCTGGTGCCTTTGGTGGCGGTCTCAGACGTCGCCTCCGCAACAGAGAAGGAGGCTGTGGAGGCTGCGAGCGGTGCGGAGACTGTGCCCGCGCTCCAGCTGCGGCGGCCAGGCCCTGAAGCCGTGGGCTCGGACCCCAGGCTGCAGGCTCGAGAGCAGAAGATTAGACCACGGCGTGGCAGAAAGGGACGGCCCAGCAGGGCTCGCCCGCAGCGACTACAGCAGAAGCAGCGGTCTGAGGCGTGCCAATGCTGGCCCTCATAAGCCATCTGGCCCTGGTCAAGGCCTGTGGGGACACCGCGAGAGGGGAAACTAAGGCAGAGCCCCCAAGCATGTCCCACCCTGTCCGAATGGGGCCCTTCTCCGGAAGAGGGCAGGAATCTGAGGCAGGGTGCTGCAAGGGCCCCTCTCTCCCCACCTCTCCAAAATGGGGCCCTTCTCTGGAGAAAGCAGGAAATCCGAGGTTTGGTCCTCACCACAGGATTTCTCATCCACCTCTCCTAGAAACTGGTTGATAAATGTCTCCTCTTCACTACTCTTTCTTTCCGAGAGTGCTACCTCCCAGAGTGGGGGTGGACATTGGACTCTAAGATATGGATCAGGCTTAGACAGTAAAAGGTGGCTTCAGATGGAAAGAGGGTGGATTTAGAGGCTAGGGTGGTGCAGACAGGGCTTAGAAGGCAGGGCGTGGCCTTGGTCGGAAAGGAGTGGATCTTAGAGAGTAGGGTGTGGCTTAGAAACTATGATGAACTTAATACAAAGGAAAAAAAAGAAACTATGATGTACCTAGGCCAGTGGTTTTCAATTTTTTTCATCTCATGGCACACATAACTAACAACTAAAATTCTGCGGCACACCAAAAATATATTTTTTGCCCAACTGACAAAAAATAGGTATAATTTTGATTCATTCACACTGGGTGGCTGTTGTCATTTTTTACTTGACAACCTAAGGAAAAAGAGGTCAGTGTCCCTGACTAAATAGTCACGTACTGCATGTTTAAAACATTCTTGCAGCACAGCAGTGTGCTTCTTGCAGCACACTGGTTGAAAATCGCTGACCTAGGCTGACGGAGGAGAGTCTTAGAGAATAATGTATAGCCTAGGGGCATAAGAGCTAGGCTGAGAGGGTAGCCCTGGGGTGCTTGGAATTAGAGGGCACTCTGGAGGTGGGCCTGGATGTGTAGTGGTGCCTAGTACTGTGTAGATGGGGTTTAGAATGTATGGCAGAATGGGGCATATCACTGATGGGACTTGCAGTGAAGGGTATAAGGCTATGGTGCTTGGGCTAGACTGAAAGTATGGGGATAACAGTGGACAGGGTCTGGAGGACAGGAAGAACGGTGGTGGGGGGGCTGTGGCCTAGCTGTTCATCCCCTTGTCCAATGCCATGTTCACCCACCGATGTGCTCCCCACAGCCATCACAGTACTCCGCATGGCGGGCCTCATAGCAAGCGCAGCAGTGGGGCCGGCTCTGACGCATGACATAACGTTGCCCTCCTAGGGATGCTTCACACTCAAAGCAGCAGAAATGGCCCATGTGCCAGTGTCGGCCCTCAGCCTCTGTACACTCCGGGGAGAAGATGATCTGGGGGGTGCAGGCAGTCTGTGGCTGTCAGCAGGGCCTGCCCTGGCCCTGCCCACCCTCCACCCCCTCCCCTGGGCAGAAAGGCATCACCTCATCACAGGCTTGGCAGCGCGGGCGAAGGCGTTCGGCATGGTGACGACCGCAGTAGACCTTGCCCACATGGTAGAAGTAGATGAGGTCCACCAGCAGCTCCCGGCATGTGGAGCACACAAAGCACTGGGGGTGCCAGCAGGCACCCAGGCCTGCTCGGCTGGCAAACACTGCGATGTCCCCACCTCCAATCTGCTTCCCACACTGCCAGATGACAGACAGACACTGTCACCCTCACCAAGATGGTTAGATGGAGATCAGCCATATTTGGGCCTTCCCCGTGGTGGACCTTTGTGACTGGCCTTACCCATGGGGTAACTTTGAGACAGGTCCTGCCTATATGGGGGAGGAAAGTGCCTTGGAAACTGACCCTACTCCTGTGGGAGAGCTTAGAGGCAGGCTCTGCTCATTGTGGGTGGCCCTTAAAAGCAAGTCTTGCCCTTGCAGGTTCGGTGAAACCATAGAGGCAGGCTAGACCCAGTGGGGGAAACTTAGCAACAGAGCTCACCTAACAGTAGGATCTAAGGTCAGGCTCCACCCACCAGAGGGGTGCCTTGGGGACAAAATCCATCCACCACCAGGCTCTAGAGACAGGCCCTGCCACTGTGGGTGGGTTCTGAAGGACAAGTCTCAATCACAAAAGGACCAGACAGACAGCCCCAGGTCCACTCCGTGGAGGGGAGGAAACTAACAGAAGGTCCATTGTGGCCTCCTTAGAGACAGACCAAACCCAACAGTGGGATCTGAGGGACAGGACCCATCCCCCAGGGGGCCCAACACACAGACATCGCTGGCCCTGCAACAATGGGATAGGGATATGGTCTTGCACCCCAGGGCTTGGATCAAAGGCACCACTCACTCCCCGAGGCTCCCCGGACTCACCTCCTCACAGATGGCCCCAGTGATGGTCACTGGGAAGATGCGCACAGTGCCACGGCCCAGGTTCTCCCGTTTCCGCTGCTGGCTGAAGGCTCGGAGCTCTTTCTTCTCCTCCTCTACCAGTGCCGTGCAGTACTGTGCCTGAGGCAAGGAGGGTTGGCCGGGCTCCTCCCTTATTGTCTGCTCCCCAACCCTCTTTCAAATATCACTCATGCTCAAAAAGTTTACTTCAATGCCTTTGCGTAGATGGTACTTCCTGCCTGAAATACCCATCCCTGACATCTTGTCCTAA